AGGATCAAGACCGCAAGAACCACGAAGCCTACATTCGCTCCGGCGAGATCTTCGAGGATCGACAGCAAAACTACGAACGCATGACCAAGAGCTTCGAGCGTGTTTGCGATTGGGGTACCATTTTTTCCGAGCTTCTCAGCGTTCCTATGCCTCAGCTTGAAGCATCAGCGTCAGCGTCTAATGCTGCAGGGTTGGGTGTCAATTTGAATTCCAAGTCGGCATTCGAGCGAGCAGACGAAGAATTCGCGACGGATCAGAGTCCGTGGGAGGATCAAGACACGCAGAAATTTTACGAAAGCATTCTTGATCTGGGCGACATCATCCCGCCAGTTATTCTGGCCCAGACCACAGGCATCAGCGCCAACGCATCGAGCGGTGCTGCTAAGGCCGACGCCAAGGATGCTGACCGACAGACAGAAGCAACCTCATCCGCAGAGGCATCGGCGTCAGCCTCGCCCCAACTTGATTCTGACGCGGTCGACGAGTTGATGAACGCCGGTCCCGCAGCTCAACTTGCAACACTCATGGCCAAGTTGCCAGACATGACGAATCGCAGCATGATCGACAGTGCTGCTGTTGACTTTGCTTTTATTGCCACCAAGCCAGCACGCCGAAAATTGGTCAAACACCTTGCCTCGCTCCCACGCAACCGTATCGACTTGGCCCCTTACTACGCGCGCCTTGCAGCGACACTCAACGGATACATGCCTGACGTCGGCGCAGGTCTCACCGCCTTGTTAGAAGATGAGTTCCGATATCTGCAGCGCAAGAAGAACGTCGAGCTTACAGAGACACGCGCCAAGAATGCTCGCTTCCTTTCCGAGCTCACCAAGTTCAAGGTCACACCAACACACGCCATCTTCCACTGCCTCAAGACGTGCCTCGAGGAATTTTCAGGACCCAACATCGATGTGCTCGCTTCGCTACTGGAGGGATGCGGACGATACCTGCTTCGCACCGAGGAGACCTCGGCGCGAATGCGAAGCATGCTCGAGATGCTGCGTCGGAAGCGTGCAGCTGCCAATTTGGACTCACGCCAGCTGCTGATACTCAACAATGCCTACTACCAGTGTAATCCACCCAAACGCAAGGCCATTGAGCAGAAGGAGCGCAAGCCGATGGAGCTCTACATCCGTCATCTGATTTACAATGTTTTGCAGAAGAGGACGGTCGACAGCGTCGTTGTTCAGCTCCGGAAGCTACCATGGGACGATGCGGAAGTGTATGGCTGGCTTAAAGACGCCTTTACGCGTGCATGGCGTATTCGCTACTCCAACATCCATCTGCTCGCCATCCTCGTTTACGAACTCGACCGATTCCACCCTGCCTTTGCTGTCGAAGTCATCGATCAAGTCCTCGAAAACATCCGCATCGGCATGGAGGAAAACATTTTCAAGCATAATCAACGCCGCGTCGCCACCACATGCTATCTCGGCGAGCTGTACAACTACCGCCTCATCAACAGCGGCATCGTCTTTGAACAGCTTTGGTCGCTCGCCACCTTTGGCCATCCCAATGGTCGACCATGGCCCGGGCAGCTCGCTCCGTTGGATGCGCCAGATGATTACTTCAGGATCCGATTGATCTGCACGCTGCTCGACACGTGTGGTGTCTGCTTTGACAGAGGATCTTTGAAGAAGAAGCTGGACGACTTTTTGGTTTTCTTAAACGTATACGTGCTGTGCAAAGAACAGCCGCTGCCGATGGACGTCGACTTTATGCTGACCGAGACGTTGGAGATGTTGAGACCTGAAATAAACTTCAACAAGTCATTCGCAGTCGCAGCGGGGGCGTTGGAGGAGATGATGGCGGCCAACAGGCAGCACAATGTGCAGGCTGGGGCGGAGGAGGATGATGATGACTCGGACGACGAGCGCGGAGGCGCAAGAGCGGATGGACCGGATGAAGAGGGCGGCGAGAAGCGGCGCAAAGCGAGAAACGAAGTCGATCATGCCTCCGATAGCGATGGATCGTCCGACTCTTCAGCTTCAACGTCGTCATCGTCTTCTTCTTCGTCCGGCGACTCTTCGTCATCTGGTGATGATTCCAATGCTTCTCAATCTGATCATCCTGACTCACAATCGCTTTCGGGAGACAATGATACGGATGAAGAGGACGAGATCGGCCGCCACCGCCAGGACGAAGAGCTCGCAATCCGCAAAGAGGCCGACGACGAGTTTGACCGGGAGCTGGCCAAGATGATGGCCGAGTTTGGCTCATCTGGTACTGTCTCCGCGCGCGCTCCGAACGCTTCGAGCAGTGCCAGTGCCTCTCGGAGCACACACCTCTTCTCTCGTGGCGGCCTCTCTTCGACCAACGCCGGCTACGGCCATTCACACATTCACTCACATACACACGGTCACCCGTCCACGTCTGGCCTATCCGAAATCGGCCTTCCGGTCAAGAAGAAGCCGTCAGAGTATCCTCAAGCGGACGCTTCGCATATGACCTTCTCCCTCCTGTCCAAGAAAGGCTCCAAGCAGGTTACGCACGAAGTGCACGTCCCGTCCACCGCGTCGATTGCAGTCAACACGCGGACGAAGCAGCTCATGGAAGAGGCAGAGAGAAAAAAGCTGAAACAGCATGTACTTGCGTACGAGCGGTCTTCGGAGTCTCAGAATGACTCGGGACTGCCTCCGCAGCATACATTGTTGCGACGTCAGAACCAGCATCAGCAGCAACAACAGCAGCCGCAGCACAGGGATGATTCGGCGAATGGCAGAGGTAAGGGAGCTGCAGGTGACGATTTTAAGATTTGGACCAGTCATGGGTTCTGATCTGAAATGCCAAGTGCCTTCTCACAAATGCGAACCAAGCTTCTGATTGTGACGACATTGATGTGAAGTGGTGTGAAGATGAGAATGCACTCCAAGGGAGGAGTTGGAGGGTAAGTCTGCCATGATGTTAGATCGGGTAAAGTACGCACACGCCTCACGTGACGCGTCTTTCTCCACGAAAGGTCGCAATCTTTGGAACATCTCTACCCTGCAGGCGACACTCTCCATCATTGGCCCCATTCGTCATCTTTCTTCTTGGCCATCCATACATCTTCTCCAACAAAGCTAGTATCACGACAAATCGGACACAGGCTCGAAAGCACATTTACTTGGAAGCTGCCAGATCCAGGTTCCAACCTTCTTACAGCAACAATCGAGCTCGCCAAGCTACTCAGAAGTACGACAGCGATCTGCGCAGCATCTCAGCATCCTCTTTTCGCCATCCTGAATCGTACCGACACCAGTACAAAGTCAGAAAACACTCATATCACATTAGCCCATCAGCATGAACGGGCGCTACGATGCGGTCTCCTCGCGGCCCAAAATCACAGTCCGACAACTAAACCGTGACCATGCCAACTTCATTCTCGAGAATGTGGATCTCTCATTTGCAAACTCGCTCAGAAGGATCATGATCGCAGACATTCCAACGGTGGCAATTGATATGGTAGAGATTAGGAACAATACGACTGTGTTGCCGGACGAGTTTTTGGCACATCGTTTGGGCATGATTCCTTTGCTCAGTATGGATTGTGCCAAGGCTTTGGTGGATCATAGGGTATGTACACGCCGACTAGAAATTTGCACTGTCTCGTGTGAACGACGCTGAATTTTTATCCATTATCTTTGCCTCTCTTGCTCGTATGGGCTGTTGGTGTCACTGGACCCATTCGATGTTATTTGACAACAACGCTCGCTTTGCTCGCTCTACCAGGACTGCGCCTGTGAGGACGGCTGCGACCGTTGCTCTGTAGAGCTCACATTACGCGCTCGCTGCACCACCCGCGGGAATCTCGAAGTGACTTCTCGCGACTTGATACGCTCTGACTCGATCGAAAATGCCACGATTTACGATGACGATGCGATGGCCGAACCCGCTGCGCCCAAGCACCCCGATTTCGGTCGTCCAGTTGGACACGATGGATCCATCCCACCCATTATGCTTGTCAAGATGTCCAAGGGCCAAGAGCTCGATATTCGCTGCATTGCACGTAAAGGATTTGCTAAAGAGCATGCAAAATGGTCTCCCTGTTCTGCGGTCGGCTTTGAGTACGATCCGCACAATGCTCTCCGCCACACGACCTACTGGTACGAGTTTGACGCAAAGCAAGAATGGCCCGAAGGACCCAATGCCGAGCTCGAAGAACCGCCACAGGAAGATGCACCCTTTGACTACAATAAGAAGGCCAACAAGTTTTACTTTGACGTCGAGGCCAGTGGAAGTATGCACCCTGCCGAGATTGTAGAGACGGGATTGGGTCTGTTGGAATACAGAGTGGCGCAGATTGTACAGGAGTTGAGTCTCTTGGATGAGCAACCTGGAGCGCCTGGGGCGGGGGCGGGGATGGGGATGGAGAATGGTATGATGGACCCGTATGGCGGTGCGCAGGGTGTAAATGGTGGTGCGATGGATATGAATGGTGGTGCGGGTATGGGGGATATGAACGGGTACCCAGGACAAGGGGCTAATCCTTATGCCGGCGGTTGGGAGTGATCACCAAAGAGCAGGAGATGCTAACATGCAAAGCTACGACGGGAAGGCTGCATCTTCTTGTAGTAGTCGCTTGCGCACTCCCTCTGATCGTTTGGAGCACTCTACTCCCATTTGCACTCACCACATCTGTACGAGATACAATCTTTGAAATCCAGAAAGCTGTACTACTAGACCACCTATCAGACATGGAGAGATATCATGTACCATTCAACACTGGTCTCAGATTGTCGAACCTTTGTGGGCCATGGGTTCTGCTATACGTCAACAGGCTATTCTGTATGCATAGGGAGCCGGTGATCTTCCCCCATGTGGTTCTGGTGAGCATGGTCTGTCCAAGCACGGTTATAGGGGGGGTAATGGTTGACAAGGTTGCAAGCGAAGTGAGTCGCCAAGAGTGTGTCCGCACATGAATCAGAGTCAACATCGTTTGAGAAGATAGGAAAAAAAAAAAAAAAAAAAAAAAAAAGAAGGGAAAAAAAAGGAGAACGGGAAAAACTGCAAAAAAGAATTTCCCGGCCAGGGAATCGAACCCTGATCTGAGCAGCACTTGGTGACTTGGAAATCACCGAGACTTGAGAGTGCCCTATACTGACCATTGTACTAACTGGGACTTCATGTACATCCAGTCCTATGGATGTTATCTTATATGACACGCTAAAGTTGATTCAAAGCGCCACCGACTTTTTGAGTGAGTGTAGAAACCTCGCATTCTCCTCTTTGGACACAGCCAGTGCAGCAGAAGCGCATTGAGCAGCACATGGCCCACTCAAAACCAACCCAACGTCATGCTTATGGGTTTGATGATGGGCGGTGTGATGCCCTCCAACGAGAGGCAACACGAGTCTCTGCTCCTGAATGCGCCTAGACGGAGGTGGGGGTCGGTGGATGGGTTCCGAGTCAAGGCGTCGGCAATCTCGCCGTCGGGCCCTACCATCCATGCAGCTTTCGGACAAACGAAAGCGTCGAGCATAGCTTTTCTCTGAAGTTCAGAGGCGGATGTCGGACAAGATGTGGGACCGTCGGTACTGTAGAAGAGGAGAGAAAAGCGAGCCAGGAACTGTACTGTACGATGATGCAAACGCTAAAATTGTTTGTCTCTCCGCCATCCCGCGTCAGGTCTCGTCCGTTGAAGACCGATTTCACACTTTCCAAATCAGGCAGGCACATACTGTACTGTACTGTACTGTACAAACATTGCACAGGAACGCGAGCCCAACTTTAAAATTCTTTCATGTATCCTTCAACCGAACTTAATCCTTTCTTTTCACTGTGTCAAGAAATTTCGTCCACGTATAGGGTATGGTCATAATGTCGAGGCTCGACTGAGAAAAGAACAAGCAGTCCGAGGTCGTCAGAAAGTGGATCATGTGGCACGAACCTGTTGTGGTACAGGGGGTAGGAGCGTGGGATTGATGAGAACAAAGACAAAAAGTGGTGGCGCAGGGCTCAAGTGTACACTCTCGCCTTTTCATGCTCTCATGCAACATCCCGCGAGGCAGGATGAGAGAATTCCGCCGCAGGTCTACTCTACCCGAACCGGTCAATTCCCTCTTTGATGTCGTCGTACACGGAACTCCGCCTTACCGTTTGGTGCAACTTCGTATTCCGGTGCATCACTACATCATCCTTCTGAAACACAAGATGTGATACTCAAGCGAGCAAAGCCACTGTATTGTATTGTCTTCCAAAAAAGGGATGAGGAATTCCGAAGACCATGGTCTTCCCTTGACGAAAACCGGAAACAGCTCCTTCCGCTCGCTAAACTTCCCGCTGTCGACAAACAAAAAGCCTCGTTCTCGAACGTGGTGAACAAGGTCAGTGCGTATCCGCTGTAATACGAACGTCAAAATTGTGATTTTTTCTTCTCTTTTTAGTGCAATACGCCAAAAAAAAAAAAAACTACCCTAAACCTCGTAACAACCCCACGCCCATTTCGACTCTCATATGTCGGACGTTGGCGGGTCGCTTTGCTCGCATTGTGGTCACAGGAGCAGGATCCAGCCTCTTGGGGGGGGGGGAACAGTGTCTCGTGCAAAGCATGGCGCAACGAAATGAAGCGGTATCCGACAAACCCCACCACACCACGACTCTCCAGACACTGTATGTATGCAGTACGCTTTTGTCATGCTCGAGAAAAAGCTATATAGATGGGTTGCTGTCATCTGTCGTTCTCGTCGATGAGGATCATCCAAGCGCCGAACGAACCGTGTCTCTACTCGAACGATACCTGACCCTTACCCCCAAACCTAATCGACCTATATCCCTCCATCCCCTATCACGACTTCTATATACCCCCGCCTCTGACTGGAAGAAACTTTCAGGATGCAGCTCTCACGATCCTTCACAGCCCTAGCTGGGCTCGTTCTCGTCTCGATCTCGTCCACTTCGGCCGCTATTATCACTGATGCATCTCGCGTCTCCAACAAGGCCTACGACTATGTGATCGTTGGAGGTGGATTGGCCGGGTTGACCGTTGCCAATCGACTCTCATCCGATTCTTCCGTCTCGGTCCTCGTCATCGAAGCCGGCAACGACGACCGAAATAATCCTGACATCTATAATGTTGATAAGTACGGAAACGCCTTCGGCACTGATCTTACTTACAAGTTCAATACTGTCCCACAAGTCGGTGGTCATGCCAAAGCTCCTTTGGGAGGAAGAACTCTTGGAGGCTCGACCTCGATCAATGGCGCTGCGTGGAACCGTGCCTCCAAGGCACAGTATGATGCTCTAGGTCCTTTGATGTTCAACTCGACCGACGGTGGATGGAACTGGGACGGATTGCTCGGTTACATGAAGAAGAGCGAAAAGTTTGTCGCGCCCAACGACCAGCAGAAGCAGCTCGGTGCCAGATGGGATCCGAGCGTTCACGGCACAAATGGTCCCCTCGAGATTGCTTTCTCCCAAATTCGAAACAACAACAGGAGGAAGAGAGGCATCGGCGGAGCAACCCAAATGTGGAAGCGAATGTTCACAGGTCCCCAACAGGCCGCATTCATCAAGGCTGTCGGTGAAACTCTCGGCGTCCAACAAGTCGATGATCAGTGCTCTGGAAACGCCAATGGCGTGGCCTACACTCCCAACTCGATCGATGTCAATGGCAGGCGCGTTTCCTCCGCCTCGGCCTATTACACGCCAGTTCAGAGTCGAAAGAACTTGGATGTCCTCACCGGTACTCGAGCCAAAAGTCTACTTTGGGACTCTAGCTCTGGCTCGACCAAGAAGAGCTCTGGCGTAGTTGTCCAGCAGAGCAAGGACGGCAACCAGATCCGATTGCTCGCCAACAAAGAAGTCATCCTAGCCGCTGGTGCACTCAACACTCCCACCTTGCTCCAGCGTTCCGGTATCGGTGCCAAGTCCGACCTCGACTCGATCGGCGTTGATCAGAAGGTGGATCTGCCAGGTGTTGGAAAGAACTTGCAAGATCAAACCATGACCACCATCGGATCTCGCGGCAACATCAACTACTCTGGCGGTGGTCCTTCAGCAGCCATTGCCATGCCAAATGTCGAACAGATCATGTCCAACGCTACCGATGTTCGCAACTGGATCAACTCGAATCTCGATTCGTGGGCTTCGCAGCTCGTATCCCAAGGGCACGTTGTCTCAAAGGCCAGCGTACAGGCTCAGTGGAAGAGCGCAATCAGCCTCATCTTTGACAAGAAGGCACCCGTGGTAGAGTTGTTCTTTGACACGGGCTACCCGGCAAACTCGTACGGACTCGACGTGTGGACTCTGCTCCCCTTCTCGCGAGGTTCGATCCGTGCGACCAGTCAAAACCCCTTCGACGCCGCGCGTATTGACCCCAACTACTTTGGCCTTCCCATCGATATGGACATGCAGGTCGCATCGCTGCGTGCCTCGAGAAAGGTGCTCAAGAACCAGAATCTCAAGCAGTTGACTTACAACGGCGAAACCACTCCCGGATTTGATTTGATCCCCGACGGAACCTACTCTGGCCGCTACAGCAGGTGGGAATCGTGGATTCTGGGAAACACTCCCAACGGCGGTTCCGGCTACGCAGCCGTTAGCCACCAGCTCGGCACAGCAGCCATGGGATCAAAGGAGATGGGTGGCGTAGTCGATGGACAGTTCAAAGTGTACGGCACTCAAAATGTCAGGGTGGTGGACGCCAGTGTCCTGCCTGTCCAGGTATCGGCCCATTTGAGCTCGACGCTTTACGGTATCGCCGAAAAAGCGGCCGAGACGATCATGAAGAAGACCTAGTTTAATCATGTTTGCCTTTGACACGATGTTAGATATACCCGAATCGTTTTCATGACTTGATCATTAATGCTTACGTTTATTTCATGCCTACCAGAAAGATTCTGCGTGCGAGAGTGTCTGACTGGCAAACACCAGCATCGCACCGAACGATGTTGAAGCTGTGAAAAAGAGACCAAGATGTGTTCATTTCGACCGCTTGCTAGCAGATGCAGACTGCGCAGCACGCTTCCGCTTCGTACTTGACGAGGCGGGGGTACTATCTTCCTCGTCCGACTCTTGAATCTCTGTGTGCCGCAATTTGGTTAAAAGTAGAGATGGTTAAGTCCCCCCAAAGAAAGAAAAAGAAAGAGAAAAAAGAAGAAAAAACAAAGGCAGAATAGCCAGCGGAGATGAAAGAATGCTTACCAGGATCATCATCCTCATTATCCTCTTCTTGCGATTCGTGAAAGTCTTCATCTTCGGATTCATCCTCATCATGCTGTTATCCATACCAATTCCAGTGTAAATACAAGTCAAACTTGTTGTCATGCAACACATGGGATAAGGATGAAAAGGATAATGACTTACGTCTTCGAGCAGGTACGAGAGGCCTACATTTCCCCGTCCCCCTCCCCCTCCATCGTCATCCGATGATTCATACGATCCATCATCATCATCGTCATCATCGGCATCATCGTCATCATCATCGTCCCCTCCCTCCTCTTGTTCTGCCTGATCGTCTTGTGCTTCAGCATCAGCTTCGTGCTCGCCGTCTCGCTCTTGCAACTCGGTTTTGTCGTTAGCTTCGAGTGTAGATCCGTTTTTCTGCGTCTTTTCGTCGTTTTGAGCCGCGGTAGATTGGGCCTTTTTAACGGGCCTTGGAGATGTTGCGTCCGTCATTTATACTTTACTCTCTACCTTGAACTGATGTGAAGGCAGAAAGACAAGCTTATGGGAGAGAGAGACAGGTTCAAAAGCCAAACCCCAAGTCAAGTTGATCCGTGCTTAAACTTGTGCAGAGTCTGACAAGCGTCTCAAAAGATCGCGTTCTTCATTTACGCGACCCGGATATTTTTTTCCCGCTGAAAATTGTTACATTTTGTCTCTGACACTAACAATGTTGCAGAAAAAAAATCACCACTTCCTTACGATCCTCTGGCTCTGTGGGTCATTCAGCAGCGCCTGTTGGACCTCTTTGCTTTCCGACGTAAGAGACGGTTGTGAATTTGCCCAGTCTATATGCGCTTCTCTCAGTTGTAAGTAGCCTTGGTTAGTCCACACTTTGTTGTCCAGAAGAATCTTAAAGATCCGCGCAGCTTCAACTTTATCCGGCTCCTGATCTTCGACTTGGAGCCTTTTGATTTCTCTCCTGCTGCCTTTTGCCTTTCCCTTGATTTTAGCCTT